TCAAACTTTTCCAGTTTCTGACAACCTAAAATTTTTTTCAAAAATTCTCAAAAATTCCTTGAATGATCTTTTTTGCTTTCTAAACACTTTTTCAAGCTCAGATTTTTCAAAAAAAAATCTATAACTTCTTAGATCAAGAATTTCAATCTTAGAAATTTTTTTTTTATGTTTGCTTTTTTTTTCTAATTTATGTATTCCCTCCTTTTTTTTCTCCATTTGTATGTCTCTTTTGTAGAACTTAGCTCTATTTATAGATCTTTTGGGATTCGAGATCTCAGATCTTTTGGGATCTTTTTTTGGTGAAAAATTTGTGTCTATTCGGTGATTTTTGGTTATCGAATTTCATGTTGCCAAGTTAGGCAGTGTCAGAGCAAAAATTTAAGCCATTATGGCAGCTTGATTTTGGCTACTAGAGTTAAAATCAAAGATATTTTTTTACTTTTCTTTTTTTAAATAATAATAATAATAAATAAATAAATAATAATAAGGAATAAATTGGTGCCTACAACAGGGGATTACGGGCTAAGCCTATGATATCTCAATATTGATTAATGAAGTCATAGGTCATATCACTTCAAGAACAAATATGATTTCTATCCAGCTGAACATACCACTTAGCAGTAGAGCCAGTGAGGCTGTCTTGGAACACATCATTAAGAGTTTTTCATTATTAGCATGGGCAGTCATTTTTTGACAATGCATGATAATATAGGTCTGTGGACACTTTGTACTGTCATACTTTTTTAACTCCGAAACCTTGAACTTCAGAAGAATAACCACATCTAGGACTAAATAGACCTAGCAACATCCACTTAACTATAAAAACCAATGCCCTTTATGGCACGTAACCTTTCCTCTAATAAGTTTATCTTCTGTGTAGCTTTTGAAGCTTCTAAAGTCTCATTCTCCTTTGGCTTTAGCTTTTCTTTCTTTTCTGGATCATCCAAATTAAAGACTAATATTAGTTCTATTGCCTTCTCGATAAAGACAGGATTTATATAACTCTGATACTATGGTGGACTTGAAGCTGATGGCATTTCAGGCTATGTGTACCTTACAGTGTATGTGAACTGCTATGGTGGTGGATCTTGAGTGGACTGGCCTTGCTGTGGCCCAAAACCAAGAGGATATATAGGGTCAGTCATCTCTTATAATAGATAGTCTTGTTGGATAGTTTTTTTTTTACATTTTTTCCTTTGTTTAACTTATTCGAAGCTTTTAGAATCTTGTTCAATTCCCCTTTAAGCTTCTCTTGGGCTTTCTCTATCCTCTCGAGACGGTTGGAATTTTCTTGTTTCATTTGTCTAGCTTGAGCTCTTGTATTGTATTGGTGAGTTGGGTTCTTGCTTGGTGAAACTATCCTTGAACCTTGAGTACCATAATTATGATCAGAAATGTTATGCTTTATGCATGATACGTTGATGTATGAATAAATGTACATTTTCATGGGTGAAATGTAATATGAAACTGATGCAGATGCACGATGTTACATATGACAATAAAAATAATGCATGACATGATAATGCAAATGCACAAAGTTAGATAAACAAAATGGTTAGATCACAAACCACTCTTTCTTGTGTCCTAACTTTGGGTTACATCTATCACTGGGTAGGAAAGGCTCTATCTCAGGGCTAGCCTCTTAAGTGTTGATTATATGCAGGGTTAGGTGATATTGACCACTGAGGGTTCTCAAATTGTTCCTTACATCATCATCCATCATAGACGAGTAAGGCATTCCAATCCTCACCCATCACAAGCTACCAATGAAAATGATTCAATTTGAGTGAGAGTATTTCGGTAGCCATTATGGAGATTATTATCTCATGAGAGCATAGGTATTTTACTCCCTCCTAAGAGGGACAAAGCCCAGGTGTAGAGCTCATGTAATGCAAATGCAAGTGGTGGTGTGTGTGAAGGAACTTATAAATTTCATGCCCTAAACATTTAAAAAAAAAGACAAAAACATTAGTAAACAAATAACACATATCATTACAATTTAAAACCATTAGACTAAAAGATAGGATAAATTCAAAAATTATGGCTTAACTCTCTAGCATTCCCAGTGGAGTCACCAAATTATCATAATATATAGATCCGTAAATCTATAGCTAGTCTTAACAAATGGTGTCGCCACCAATCTTTTTTTACTAGGTGTGATTGACCACCTAAGGAATCTATCCTCTTAAGGAACTCCTAAGCTTGATTAAGGGTCCCTAAAAGAATAGGTTCAGGTCTACTAACCAGAATAAGGTTCAGGAGTTAGGTTACATAAGAGAAAGGTTATAGCACCCCTACACGCCTATCTGAAGGATGGTACCATATTATTTTAAATTTTTCCTAGGGTTTTGGTTCTAATGGTTTTGAAATTTAATGTTAAAATATTACAAATAATTCTTAAGATTTTTCATCAATCTGGTAGAATTCTTAAAAATATTTTCTCACTTCAAGAGTATTTAAGAATTCCATTTAATTTCTTAAAGAGGCTTCGTCATTGGAAAAAATGTTTAATTATTATTATTATTATTTTTATAATTTTTATTGAAAATATATTTAATTATTCCACAATTTAGGCCAAATTAGAAATATTTTTTCATTTTGAGTTTCTAAATTCTTCACCATTTGGGCCTATTTATTTATTTATTTATTTTTAAAATTTTCACCATTTGGATTAATTTAGAAATATTTTCTTTTTTTGGTTTTAGGAAAGAAAATAATATGACAATTATTTTTTTTATTGAAATCTCATTTAAAATTTTGCACCATTTGGGATAAATTTAAAAAAATTTCTCACCTAGAGATTTCTTAGAAAATTTACCATTTGAAATTTCTAAGAATCTCATTCTTGGATAATTGTCAAATATTTTCAACCAAATTTTTTTTAAGATTGAAAATAAATATTAATTATTGTTATTAAAACTTTATCTAAATTATTCCAGCATTTGGGACAAATTTAAGTAAAATTTCTCAATTAGGAATTTTATAGAAATTTACCATTGAAATTTCTACAAATTTTATCATTGGATAATTAATATTTATTCTAAAAATATTTTATATTTTTTTAAATTTTATCATGCAAAAATAATAAAAACACATAAATAAAATACTAAATCAAAAAATCAAAAAAATAAAAATGGCTCAGCTCGGTGATTGCAAAACGACTCGGCTTAAGGCACAAAATGTGGCTCAGGGGGACACGGTTTGGCAGCTTAATGTGGCTCGGTTGCTGAGAAGTGGTTGGCATGTGAGTCAAAAGTGGGTCAAGCTGCGGGTTAGGTCGACTGAATAAAAAACGCACAGATCTTGATGGGTTATTAAGGCTAAAACGATGCCATTTCAGTGAGGGTATAAATAGCCCAAATTCGGTCTATTTTCACCAGAATTCCTTTGCTCCCTCCTCTCTACTTTCCCTTTTCTCTTATTCTCTCTCTAAATCCCTCTAAGAACACTGGTTGAATTTAATCAGATTCTGAAAATTCTTGCTGGAATCTGAGTTATTCATTGAGATTTTGTCGAAAAGTTCACCGGTTTCTGGAAAGTAGCTGCCGAAAACTAGGAAGCTTATTGAAATTTGGAAATGTAGCTGAATCTCATCAAAAAATTCAACCAGCACCAAAAAATTTAATCGACATCGAAAAATTCACCAAAAAACTAAAAAATTTTCAAAAAATTTTCTGGAAAATTTTTCTTCTTTTCTTCGAGAATTTTCCTAAAATTGCTAATTGCTTTTCTGACTTTTCTGCCTCTATGTTTCTGTATTTTGTTTTTGTGTGTTTATTTTGTCTCTAATCTATGGATATTTATAAGGTGAAATTCGAGAGCCCTAAAACCAAATAAGATTTTAATCCCTTCTAAGTTTTAACTCCAAGCTTTAATCTAACTAAAACACCTCAACCCAGTCCTACCCAAATTTAACCACAATTTTTCCTGTTTTTCCAGCTTTTTTTCATTTTTTTTTCAAATTTATTAACAGAATCCATATCTTGTAGACCACCAAATAGATTGGGGTGTCTACAGTTTGACGTTACATTTCAATCAAGGTTGACGATTGAACCCTGTTTTGTGAGACTATAACATCCTTTTACTTGTCCTGCAACGTAATTGCTTCTAATAACCGGCATTGGAAGGATGAATTGAATCATAATGATGAACAAGTAAATTAGAGACTTTGTCACATTCAGACAAAACAGAGCTTTTCATAAGATGGAGTTTTGTAAGACTGCATTTCTGTCCCCCAACTGGATGTCTGGACCATTGAAGAAAAGATCAACATACTTTACCGTATGTTGGGCACTGAATGACCAGCCATTTGCGGAAGAATTGTCCCATCTCTCCAGTGTTTAGACTATTATTGAGGGTTGACTGCTTCCACCTCTTGTCTTTTTCAACTTTGTAGAGTTACTTTCTATCCCTATCCTCTCATTTTCCTAACTCTCACTATATATGCTCAAAAGTTCAATAATTCTTTTTTTTTTCTGAACCAAACATCAAAAGAGTGTCCCGTACGGTTTGGGGCACTGAATTTAGTAGTTTTGACGCACAATTTTGTTGAAAGTATATCACTTATATTATTTATATTACAATTAATCAATTTGAGTTTAAAATTATGTAAAATATATTAAAATATTATACAAAATTTACACTTATAGGTAGTCGCATCATATATATATATGTGGATTTTATTCAACTTTATCTTGAATTTATTCACTTATATTAATTTTTTTAGGTTGGTTTATCTATTTATTTTATTACATTAAATTTTTATATGAAAATAATACTCGATTGTTTTTTTTTTTTTAAAAAAAAAACCTTGAGATTTGAGTCTTGCGGTTTAGGCTCTCTTCTTGTACCGTATATTGTGTTTGGAAATTAGGACCCATTTGCACGTATTTCTTAATCAAAAGATGAGTCAGAGGATGCGATGGCTAAATCCATGAAAAGAAAGTATTTAAAGAATATTGAACGATTAACACTAGAATAGTACACTGGCACCCATTAAACTCAGTTGTTTCTGATCTCTTCATGATTTGCCTTATCCCCACGCCTAACCTTATGGGAAAAATTGGCTTCCTCTTCCCTCTTATGGTTCTGCTCCTATTGCCTCCCTTTGGGGCTACTTTATCTGCCGGTTCACCCAACATCAGCACTGACCAATTGGCTCTTCTTGTACTAAAATCCCATGTCACTTACGACCCTCGAAACTTCTTGGCATCCAACTGGTCTACTTCTGCCTCTGTTTGCAATTGGATTGGGGTCACTTGCGGATCAAGACACCAGAGAGTCACTGCTCTGAATTTTTCAGCAATGAGTCTTACAGGCACCATTCCACCTCACTTGGGAAATCTTTCTTTCCTAGCTTGGCTCGACATTCACAATAATAGTTTCCAAGGCTCGTTACCCATTGAGTTAGCTAATTTGCGTAGGTTGAAATATTTGAACTTTGCTAACAATAGCTTCAGTGGGGAATTCCCGTCATGGTTTGGTTCCTTCACTCAACTTCAGTCGTTGTATTTGGATGGCAACAACTTCACAGGCGTTATCCCATCTACTCTGGGCAATTTGTCAAAACTAGAAATATTGATCTTGGATTACAATAATTTGAAAGGGCCGATACCTGCAGCAGTTGGAAATCTTTCAAACTTGAAATGGTTAATTTTGGATGAGAATTACCTTTCAGGTTGCAATTGGATACCTTTCTCAATTTTTAATGTCTTTATTCATTGTAGAATGTTGATTTTAGAACTAATAATTTCATTACAGGTCATCTACGGTCGGGAATATTTGATCACCTTCCTAAATTACGAGTACTAAGTTTGACATGGAACCAGATCTCCGGTGGAATTCCTAATAGTTTATTCAAATGCAAAGAATTGGTGTATTTATCTTTCCATAACAATACTTTGGAGGGAAGTTTGCCCACAGAGATCGGAAATTTGACTATGCTCAACCAATTGTATCTCTACAGGAACAACCTCGAAGGTACAATGAACATGTCTATTTTTTTTTTCTTTTTAAGGTATCAAACCGGGTCCGCTTATGGACTTCTCTGAAATACTAATAAGAAATTTACCTTATCGCAGGCTTCATTCCTTCCTCAATCTTCAATCTGTCTTCGTTGCAAGTAATTTCATTAGGATTAAACAAGCTCTCCGGTCATCTCTCGCCAGATATTTTTGATCACCTTCCCCGATTACTATTTCTTGATTTGATTTGGAGTCAACTTTCTGGAAGAATTCCAACAAGTTTATTCAAGTGCAAAGAATTAGAATATCTATACTTGTCTGGTAATCAATTGGTGGGGAATATGCCTTCAGAAATTGGGAATTTTACTTGGCTTAAACATTTGGGCCTCGACCAGAACAAATTTGAAGGTAAGCTCAAGGTATATTTTGGTGTGCCTAAGATATATAGTGAACATCACATAAGATTATATATGTGATTAACTGAAAATTTATATTCATTAATATCATCTTTATATTTTTTGTCTTAATTTCAATTTCAACTTATAATTTTATATATCAAACTAAATGTCTTATCATTTGGTCATTTTATTGAAATTTTCAGCCTTTATATATTTGAAAGTACGTAGTACTCTCTCACTTTTATATTTAATTACCTTTTTTAAAGACTTACATTTCCTTCTTTTTTTTTATGTTTCATATATTCTAATTTTTAATAATTTTTTTTAAAAGACGTCTATGATAATAATGATAAGCTTTCAGGTTCCATTCCTTCATCACTCTTCAACATTTCTTCATTGCAAGTAATCGAACTTGGATTCAACATGCTCTCAGTAGGTCATCTCTCATCGGATATATTTGATCACCTTTCTAATTTACGATGGCTTTATTTGAGTGGGAGTCAAATTTCTGGAAGAATTCCAACAAGTTTGTTCAAATGCAAAAAGTTAGAACATATATACCTGGCTTCTAATCAATTGGACGGGACTGTGCCTTTAGAAGTCGCCAATTTGACTTCACTTAAGGTATTGAACATCGGCGCCAACAACTTGACCGGTAAGCATTTTTTTTTTTTGGTAATTGAAATTATAAAAAATTTAATCTTAATTATTAGACCCCATCGGCTTCTACTCTGAACATAGCTCTACCCATTGAGTATTCTCAACCTAACAAATACATACATATGTGCATGCATGTTTATATAGATCATCTTAATCTCTTCTAATTCACTTACAAATATTTAAACATATATATTTATAAAGACCTTCTAAATCTCTTCTAATATGATAGAATGTCTACCCAATAAAACTCTACAAATCTCTTATGTTTTTTTTCTCATATTTAATTTTATAGACATTGACACTACTTATAAGCATATAAATTTGCCTATCAAAAATTCCTTTCCACTTAAAATTTTTCTTCTACAAATCTTCTTATTCATAAAACAATATCCAATCAATCTAAAAAGAAAAATTCAAACAAATCTCTTATGAGATTTGAGTCAATCATAATAATTTTCACCTTAACTCAAATTTTATCAAATCATCAATTTTCATGCTAAACATGACTCTAACTGCAATGGAATTATCATAATCATCTTCTACGTGCGTTTTAACTCTTCTCACAAACCAATCTATCAAAATATGAACTCAAACTCTTCTCTTGAATCGAGTTCCTCTAGGCTTACCTCTTTCTATGTCTCGAACCTTTGGTCTAATACGAATTTTTAGCTACGTCCATAAATGAGAGAAAAGATTCACTAGTTATAGAAAATTACAAACATACAATCATATTAATCAACAATTGTAATCAATATTTATGGACCCTTTCATTTTTTTATAATCTTATGGAGTATTTTCAACCCAAACAATTGCATACCCATGTGGTTTACTATACCTATGTGGATGCATTTATTTTTCTCTAATCTTATAAAGTATTTCAACTTAAACAAGTACATACTCATGTGGTTCACCATACTTATGTCATTTTGATTCTCCTCTAGTTCACTTAAATATACACACCCATAAGAACCTTCTCAATCTACTTTATTCCTATAAGGTGTCTATTAAATATAACCTTAAAATTCTTTTATATATTTTTTTCATACCTAATCCTATAGAGGCTCTCGTTATTTATAAACATGCAAATTTGGCTATCAATAATCCCTTGCCACTTAAAATTTTTCGCTTACAAATCTTTTTATCCAACAATATCTAATCAATCTAAAAAAAGTCTAAAATACATTTCTTATAGAATTTTGAGTTAATCCTAATAATATTCTACCATGGGATCACATAACTATTGGTGTCTTCTTTTTTTTTTTTATACAACGTTTTTTTTTTAATGACCTAACACCATCTTTCTTTTCTTTTTCTTTTGGAACATCGAAAAAGTTTCTTACTTGTGTTTATGTTATGTTATATATCTGGAAATTATTTTTCATGATTTTTTTTAACTTTTGAAAATAAAATCATATATATACTAGCTATAAAAAATTAAAATTTTAATATAAAATACAATAAACTCAAAACTCTTTCTTTTAGTTTTTGTGAAAGTCATATAGAGAGACAAAGAATTTGGGAGAATCGGAGAGAGACTGATGGAGTGATTACTTTTTTCATAGTGTGCTCCAATATTGTTACGTACGTACTAATAGAATTTTCTAATTCAACTTATGGTTGTCCGATTAATAGTGCATTCACGCACTTAGACATGGCAAGATGTTGTGGGGTAAATTGTCCTGTCATTTGTCTTGGTTGACATATGCATTTGATTTGCATACGTTACATCACAAACATAGTTTATTTGCATTTTTTTAATTTCATATAATCTTCAAACTCCTAACCTAGATTTATTCCTTATTTTCTCCCAGGACGCTTTCCAACTGCACCACTTTCATTGCATTGGTTATCTGTTTCAGAGAATAATTTAGTTGGAGAAATGCCTTCCTCAATTTGCAACTTGAGTTCCTTCTAGGTCTTATTTTGGATGAGAATAATTTGGGTGGAACTATTCCAAAATGTATTGGAAACTTGAGCTCTCTCTTATACATTGTTCTACGTAAGAATAATTTTCATGGGAAATTACCTGAAAATTTTGTTAAAGGTTGTTCTTTGAGAGGTTTTGAGATCAACAACAACCAATTAGAAGGATCACTACCACGATCTTTGGGTAATTGCAAAGACTTGGAACTCCTAGATGTGGGGAAGAACAACTAAATGACACTTTTCCTAATTGGTTGGGAAACTTGGATCACCTACAGGTTCTTGTCTTGAGATCGAATAGATTTATGGTCACGTAGATAACTCCAAAGTTACATTTTCCTTCACTCGTGTGCGTGTCATTGATCTTTCTCACAATCACTTCAGTGGATACTTACCGACGAATTTTTTTGAAAATTTGCAAGCCATAAGGGAAAGGTGTGAAAAGAAAGTTAAGCCAGAGTACATGATGGATGCATCGGCTGATGGAGTGGTGTATTATATTCAAAATCTTACTTTTACAATAAAAGGGTTGGAAACAGAATTTCAGGCACTATTAACCACTTGGATGGTGATTGACTTTTCGAACAATCAATTCGTTGGGGAAATTCCTAATTCACTTGGTGAACTTCATTCACTTATAGTCCTCAACCTCTCTCACAATAGTTTAACAGGTCCTATCCCATCATCTTTCGGTGATTTGTCAGAGCTTGAATCATTGGATCTTTCATCGAACAAGCTCGAAGGAGAAATTCCAGCACAACTAAAAAATCTTGTATTTTTAGAGGTGCTGAACTTTTCTCATAATTATCTTATCGGACCTATTCCTCAAGGCAATCAATTTGATACTTTTGAAAATGATTCTTACAATGGGAATTTGGGTTTATGTGGATTCCCATTGTCAAGGAGTTGCAGTAATGATAGGAAATTGAAGCCAACACCGACAACAAGAGCATTAAGTTGGAAATTTGCAATGCTGATGGGTTATGGATGTGGATTGGTGTTCGGATTGAGCATGGGATACATTGTATTCACAACTGGAAAACCATGGTGGTTCATCAGGATGATTGAGAGAGGTCAACAAAAATATATTAGAGTGAAAAAAATCCGATAATGGAGAAAGAAAATAGAACAAACTATGCTCCTATAGGTAAGGTATAATCGTTCTCTACAAATAACTATTCCTTTTTATTATAATCTTCTTTTCTTTTTACAAGAGGGTAGGAGTTACGACTGAACCTCAAACTGAAGATTTTTCTCTGACAATTATTAATAAATGTTTCGATTCGGTCTTATAGGGAGTTGATGAAAACAAAGGACATTTTTCAAGCCTAAAGTGGTAAGGTTCTATAATTTTATTTAATTATATAAATAGGAGAGATTCTCGTATGAGTTTTACATGTATCCTTTCGTTTTTTTTTTTTTTTTTTGACTGCTAGAATTTCTTTGTTAATACCTATGTAACTTGTAGTCAATATATAAATTTAGATGATGATTTAATGAATGATATGTTAAGATTATAGTTTTGTGGTCATAATTTGGATTTAGTTTTTGTGGATATGGATATTTTGTCTTTGTTAATTTTAAAGTGGGTAGAGTACTCTACTTCTTTGAATTGGATCCTTTTGGCCTCTGCAATATTTCTTCAATATTCTTCTATTCTGAGAAAAAAATATAAAAGAAAAAAATGGTATTTTATATTTATTTTTCAAGCAATGTACAGTGAAGAGGACAAAGTTTTTCACATTTATATGATAGATATTGTATTTTGTTTGACAGGGACGAATCTAGGGGCGGACAAAGACCTCACCTCCTTAATTAAAGAAATCATGGTTGTAATCTTTATTACAATGTTTACATATCTTTAGAAAGTAAGAATAGTTAAACGCGAAATCAATTTTGTATTATAGTGATTTAACTTTCTTTAATTTTTTTTTCTGTTACTAAAATTAACCTTCTATACTTTATTTCTTTACTTTGTCTGACTTCGTTGTCCCTTTGTGTTGATATGATAGTCCATTTCTAAATAAATTCCAATTTGTTAGACCTTATTCCAATTTGTTATATCATTAGCGAGGTTTTTAACTTCCTATGTAAAACGGGCTTAAGGAATCGATATGTGTTTATTTAAAATATATTTAATTAATAATGAAAATATAACAATTATATATAATAATGAATTTGGGAGTTTATTATATGATAAAGTCTGAATTCATTATTATAAGTATAATTATTATATAATAATAATTTTAGAGTTTAGCCGATAATTATGTAATTCATTAATAGAGTATTGGATTATTAATTTCAGTGATAAGGGATCAAATTATGAAAATCTCAAATATAAAAATAATTATTTAAAATTTAATTTAATTAATTTATATAATAATTTATATCTAATAAATATAAAATTTAAATTATAACGCTTATAACTTATGCTTTTTATCTTTAAATTACAACTTTTTTTATAAAAAATCAATCATATAAATTTATTTATAAAATTAAAAAACTCCACCGAATGGATAAAAATAATGATCATACACTTTATTCTAATTTTTTAGTGGTGTCAATTCATGGTCCCCTCTTACCGTCTCCATCTTGCAAGCGGGTATTCCATTAAGCTCCAATATTGACTTAAAACCGAGAGAAAAGCATCAACAAGAGTCAAGGTAGTGCGATGTCCCTCGTCTCTTGTCTCTTCTTCCCGATCGTGTGTCCCTAATAATTTCTTAACATTTTAAAAGATGACATAAAGGTAAATGGCCCTCTCAAAATTAGACTTTTTTGATAGACTTGGAAAGCGTAGGTCTTGTTCTTGTTTGGCAAGATAGCAAGTGCGAACACAGGAAAAATTTTAGATATTGCAGGAATATTGTACAGATTTTCTTCCGCAATAATGTTTACTTATGAAATAGACATGCCAATCAAACACGGTCGAAACAAAAAATCGATTCAAGTGAACCAATAAACACGCCATCTAATTTCAAGCTCAACTAAGCTTGCTCTGATTCCCATTGGGCTAACTTGATAGAAAATGAAGATAATTTTTTTTTCAATGAGAACACTTGTTGGAAATTGAAGAGATTTTTTATTGCTATTTTAGACTTGAAGGGCATGGAGTGACACGTCATACCTTAAACTTGACAAAATAAGGTATACTTTTGTCTTAAAAAAAACAGTAATTGTAAAAATTATATCTTAGCTTAGAAAAAGTAAGTTGTAAAGATTTAAATATAATAGCGAATTAAACTTTTTGGTAAAAAAAAATCAAGAAAAAGAATGTATGTGTCTTAAGGACTAAACTTTTATAAATCATTATATTTAAATTCTATATCCTTTATCCTCTATTTAATTTCAAATTCATTTGTGCTTTAATTTTTTTATATTTTTTATAGTATCATTTTCCCAATTATATTTGTTAAAATTTAACTTTGAAAAGAATTTAGATACAGTCCAATTCATCCTTTCTCTTAAATTATTGATTTATACTTGAGCTAACATAAATAAAAATTAACCAATATTTCATTCAATATGAAAATCATTATTTAAGGAAAAATAATTAATTTAATACATTATCAATTGTGGGATGTGTATATAAATAGTTCTCTTTTTTCATTTTTAGAGTTTTTATATACTTTTATATATAGTAATGATAATATTTTGATAATAATTATCTAATTAACTGTCAGTAAAATTTTGAAATCTGTTTCAAAAAATAGGTTTAAATGGTTAGCATGTGTCTATTTGAGTATATTTAATAAAAAAAATTAAATTATTAATTAATAAATGAACACATGACCAGTAACGAATTTTTATATTTAATTTTGGGGTGACTAACTAAAAGTTTAATATTTTATATTTAACTGCAATGATGTCTAGTTATGAAAAAAACATGTCAAACAAACACCACAGAAACAAAAAATCCATTCAAGTGATCCAATAGATACTCCATCCAATTTCAAGTTCAACGAAGCTTGCTTTGATTCCAATTGAGATAACTTGATGAAAATTGAAGAAAGAGGGCTCCGGATTATCATTGTCATTTTTAAAAATTTCCAAATCATGTTGAAATTAAGCTACCATCAAAATAGCCTTTGACAAACAAAATATGTGGAATGTATTAGTATTAAATAATGAACAATCAACACTATGATTCACCAAACTTAATTGTTCTTTTCTTTCTCTTAATTTGCCTCATAACCCAGGCATATACCGATGGAAGACACTAGGTTCATCCTCCCTCTCATGGTTGTGATGCTCTTGCATAATTTGGTGCCTAGTTTTTCGATGGAATCACCCAACATCACCACTGATCGATTGGCTCTCCTTGCCCTGAAAGCCTATGTCACTCGAGACCCTCAAAATGTTTTTGGCAACCAAACTGGTCCGCTGCCACCTCTGTCTGCCAATTGGATTGGTGTCAGTTGTGGATCCAAGCACCGCAGAGTCACTGCCTCTAAATCTTATTAGCATGAGTCTCACAGGAAACCATCCCACCAATCTTGGGAAATCTGTCTTTTCTTACTTCGCTCAACATTAGAAATAACAGTTTTCATGCCTCATTACCAATCGAATTGGTCAATTTGCGTCGGTTGAAATTAATAGATATTGGTAGCAACAGCTTCAGTGGAGAAATCCCATCATGGTTTGGCTCCTTCCCTGAACTTCAAAGCTTGTTTCTGTACGGTAACAACTTCACTGGTGTTATCCCATCTTCTTTGGGCGATTTGTCAAAGCTAGAGAAGTTGGTCCTATATAACAATAGTCTTGGAAGGGCAGATTTCTAAGCAATTGGAATCTTTCTAATTTGCAATGGTATATTTGGATTATAATCGTCTTTCAGGTTCCATACTTGCCAATCTTTTCATATAATCTTCATTGCAAAATATTGATTGCAACACTAATAATCTCATCTCAGGTCATCTTCCTTCGGATATATTTGATCACCTTCCTAAATTACGGCAGCTAGGTTTGGTTTCGAACCAGTTTTCCGGTAGAATTCCAGCCAGTTTATCCAATTGCAAGGAGTTGGAAATTTTGTACTTATCGAACAACTCTTTGAACGGAAGTGTACCTGAAGAAATTGGAAATTTGACTATGCTCAGGGAGTTGTATCTCAGTATGAACAACCTTGAAGGTACGCTAAACTTGGCCATGGTTTACAAACTAAAATCAAAACTAATTAATATGGAATACGTGATTAATTGGAAATTTATATTAACTTTTTCATAGATCCGAATTTTGAATTTCAGATTCGGTTTAGAAATTTTAATTGAAAATTTCGTGAATTTTATTCGAAATTTTCTATGTAATTAATTAACTTTCGCCGTACCATTTGGGATTTGACATATGCTTTAATTTCTTTACTAACCATGAATCATTATTTTGCATGTATTTTATATATTTTCGCTA